GGATTCACCTCCTTGTTGATGGAGCGACTCTCCGTTGACTATGGCAAGAAGTCCAAGCTGGAGTTCTCCATCTACCCTGCACCACAGGTCTCCACCGCTGTGGTGGAGCCCTACAACTCCATTCTCACCACACACACCACACTGGAGCACTCGGACTGCGCCTTTATGGTGGACAATGAAGCCATCTACGACATCTGCCGCAGGAACCTGGACATCGAGCGCCCAACCTACACCAACTTGAACAGACTCATCAGCCAGATCGTCTCATCCATCACAGCATCGCTGCGGTTTGACGGGGCCCTGAACGTTGACCTGACCGAGTTCCAGACCAACCTGGTGCCCTACCCTCGCATCCACTTCCCCCTGGCCACCTATGCCCCTGTCATCTCCGCAGAGAAGGCCTATCACGAGCAGCTGTCAGTGGCCGAGATCACCAACTCCTGCTTTGAGCCAGCCAACCAGATGGTGAAGTGCGACCCTCGCCACGGCAAGTACATGGCCTGCTGCCTGCTGTACCGCGGGGACGTGGTGCCCAAGGACGTCAACGCTGCCATCGCCACCATCAAGACCAAGCGCAGCATCCAGTTTGTGGACTGGTGCCCCACGGGCTTCAAGGTGGGCATCAACTACCAGCCCCCCACGGTGGTGCCGGGGGGGGACCTGGCCAAGGTGCAGCGCGCCGTCTGCATGCTGAGCAACACCACGGCCATCGCCGAGGCCTGGGCTCGCCTGGACCACAAGTTCGACCTGATGTACGCCAAGCGAGCCTTTGTGCACTGGTACGTGGGCGAGGGCATGGAGGAAGGGGAGTTCTCCGAGGCGCGGGAAGACATGGCCGCTCTGGAGAAGGATTACGAGGAGGTGGGCCTGGACTCCTACGAGGATGAAGAGGAGGGCGAGGAGTAGAGAAGGCCCTGGCAAAAAGGACCGTGCTCCTTCCCCGTGTTAGCTGCAGAAACCCTTTGCAATAAACCATTTCAGAGCCTCTGTGTCTCCCACTAACCCCCCAGCTGTATCGGTTTCTTGCCAGGTCAGGTGTGTGGTGAGTGCTTCAGCTCTGCTGCTGGTGCTGCTATGCTTCCTCCCAGTGCTCTGCTCCAGCTCCAGCTTGCTCCCCACATAGGTAAGAGCCCCTAGGTCCGCTCCCTGGGACTGCAGCAGACATCCCGCCCGCTCGCTGCTCCAGCCAGGGATGGGTACCGCTTCCTTGTGTGGTATATGGCCCCGCATTGTATCCTGGAGCTCAGGGGAGCACATTTGGCCTAAGCAGGAAAAGACCAGCGGCTGCTGGGGCTTCTCCCCATGTGCAGCCCGAGGGTGGGTGGGCTCATCTGGAAGGATAGTGGCGTAAGTAGTGGGAGCAGTCTGGCACCCCTGTCCCTGTGGCCACAATGTGGGACAAGGGGCATGCCCGGCTCTGCGGTGCAGCAGGTGCACCTTGAAAGGGCATCCAGTGCGGCATGAACCCCCGCGGCCGCTTTACTGCTGTGTTGTGGTGAGAGGATTAAAGGAGGGGAATGCTCCCTGTGAAACTGCTTGTCTGCATCTCTTTTTTTATCCCCCCCTCTGTGGGCAGCCCAACTGCTGCATGTCCCAGTAAGCCCATCCAGCCAAGGGTGCCAGCTGGGCTGGGGAGTATCCCCAGTGCTGGGATGGTTGTGCTGTCCCCAGGCTCTGCTTGCCCCCAGTGGAGCAGGGCTGCTGCCCCTACCTCCCAAGTTCTGGCAGCTCCCCAGCCTGGGCACCCACCTCCCTCTCCTTGGGCAGCTAAGAAGCTCTGCCTGTACCCCTACCACTGCCTGCCTGCCTGCGCTGTGTTGAGCTCCTTCCCGCAGTGCCCAGCCCTGGAGGCTCTGACAGCGGTGCCTGGCTCCAGCTACGGAGTTGCCTGAACTCCCATCAGGAGCGCGCTGGGGCCAGGGATTAACTTTCCCTGCTTACTGCTCATGCTCCAGCTGTGCCGCCCCACCAGGGCTGTCCCCTGCTGCCCTTCCCCTCCAGCAATGCTTGGCTGCTCAACCCTGACAGCATGCCCCCGCCCCCCCCCCCGTGCCCCTGGTGGGACCCCCTCCCTGCAGACGGACACGCCATGCACACCTCTGCAAGAACATCTTTTATTCCAAACACAAGGCAACGTTGGCGCTGAGAGCAGCAGCGGAGCGGGCGCTGGGTCCCCCCACCTTGCTTCAGCACCACACCGGGACCCGGACCGCAGCTCTGCCCTTGGTCAGGAGCGATCCTCCTGGGGTGCAGAGCTGTGGGGCCACGGCTGCCATCACCTGGGAGGTCCCACAGCATCCTCCTCTGCAACCCCTGGGGGGAGGCAGCGGCCGGTGAGGGCCCTGTGTTTAGCAGCAGGTCACACGTCCACAGTTCTGGGGCACAGACCAAGTCCCAGGAAGCAGCATCCAGGGCACAGAACACTCCAAATCCAACACACCTCCGGCACAGAGCAGCAGCTCTCCCCCGAGTGCAGCAATCCCCTCTGCAATGGCTCCGCAGGGACGAGGGCAGCTGCTTTTACCCTGGCTTGTCCTCGGGGCACATCGCCACCGTGGGGTGGGACAGGCTCAGATCTGCGTGGTGTCCTGTCCCACCGGCGCTGGTTGCAGCCCATCCAGCTGGTGGAGGATGTCACTTATGCTGGGTCGCTCCTGGGGGTTCAACGTCATCATGGAGAAGAGCAGGCGCTGCAAGGCAGCCGAGTACCTGGAGAAAAGATGGCGGGGGGGATGTTTCACGAGGCATACAGCACAGGGGCCTGCTCGGGAGCAGGGTCACCCTCCCCAGGCCCTCACCTGGTCGTGGGGGGCACGACAATGGGGTTCTGCACCGCCAAAGCCACACTGTCACCCTTCTGGAAGATGGCGTCGTAAGGGCCCTCTCCAAACATCATGCAGTACAGCACGCAGCCTAGGGACTGGAGCATGGTGGGGTCAGGGCAGCCCAGTGGCAGGGGGCTGGGGACCAGGGGGCTGGATCCTTACCCAGATATCTGTGCGCTCGTCTATGACGCACTGGCTTGGCACCGTGAAGAGCTCGGGGGCACGGTAGGAGATGGTGCAGCGCTGGGCAGCCCAGTCCTGCAGAGAGGAGGGTGAGGGTGGGGATGAAGGGCTTGGGGCAGTGACAGACTGGTGGGCTGATGTCCCAGGGCACCCACCTGCACAGCCATGGCCTCCTGAGAGCTGTTGACTTCGATGCGAGCTCGGTTCATGGAGCCCAGGTCCATCAGCACAGGCCGGTCATCCTCATCCAGCAGCACATTGGTGGGCTTGAGGTCCCTGCAGGGATGGATGTCACTGATCGCCCACTGGGCCCCCTGGCAACCCCCCTGGCTGGGGCTGCTGGCCTCCCACCTGTGTGCGTAGCCCTTGCCATGGATGGCTTGCAGCCCACTGCAGATGCCATGGAGGATGAGGAGGATCCGCTGCTCTGGCATGAAGGTCCCTTTCTCTCGCAGTGCTTCCACCTCACGCCACAGGGTCCCTCCCTGGCAAACGCAAGCAGCTGGTCGCCACTGGCGCTCCTGGCGGCAAGGGGTTGGGGGCGGCCAGGGGAGCCCCCCTCACCTTCACATAGGGCAGGAGGAGCCAAGCTTCATGCTTGGCACCCTTCTCCACCATGCAGTGGGCCACCAGGCGCAGGATGTTGGGGTGGTCAAAGAGGCCATGCATTTCCACCTCGTGCAGGGCAGCCTGGCGGTCCTCCTTGTCATGGCACAGGATGCGCTTCAGGGCATAGAAGCGACCGTCCCGCAGCCCCTCCACCAGGTCCACATAGCTGAAGCCCCTGCGAGGAGCCGAGCATGGCGTGGGCTGGGTATCACACTGCTGCAGCACCCACATCAGGGCCCTGTGCCCAGCCTCAACTGTGAGGACCCAGGGGAGGGGGACAGAGGGCAGCGGGTCCCTGCACCCCTCTCCATCAAACCCCCCCAGGCATGTACGTTCCCCCCACTTTGGGGGCACCTGCCAGGCACCCAAAGCATTCACCGCTCTGCATGAACTACCCCACTGGACCAGTCACCCTCACTCCCGTGGGTCCAAGCACCCACTCCTGGGCATGACCCTGCCCAGGACCCCTGCCACCCAGCATGAGACTCCTCCTCCATGCACATACTCAAGCATCTCCCTGCTATGCTTAAGCACCTCCCCCACCATGCCCAAGTATCTCCCCCATGTCCAAACACCGCCTGTGCTCAAGCATCTCCCCACCATGCCTGAGCATCTCACACACCCAAGCACATCCCCGATGCCTAAGCATCACCCCAATGCCTGAGCATCCCCCTGTGCCCGAACATCCCCTATACCTGAGCATCGCCTCCATGCCCGAGCATCCCCTGCATGCACACACACACCCCCCCATGCCCGAGCACCCCCCAGGCACAAGCACCCCCCATGCCTGAGCATCCCCTGCACGCACAAGCACTCCCCAAGCCCGAGCACCCCCCCCAGGCACAAGCACCCATCATGCCCGAGCATCCCCCCGTGCCCGAACATCCCCTATACCTGAGCATCACTCCCGTGCCCGAACATCACCTCTGCCCCCGAGCCCAAACATCCCCTATGCCCGAGCA